TCAATATCCCACTGTAGTGTATTATTCAATATCCCCTGACAGGACCCTTACTGATGCTGTGGTCATCTTGTCTCAAATATGGGCAAGCCTTTACTGACTTGGGAAATTCTTAGAAATGGGTTGAAAACCCTTTAGCGGTGCCACCCAGTGCCATCTCTAACCATCACCCACTGTCCTGGCAGAGACCCCAAGCACTAAACTTTTTATGTTACAGTGACTTCCTTTCCCATGAGCAGACCTGCTAAAGTTGAGGGTAAGTTCTGTTCACGCCCTTTGTTCCCAGATATTCACTTCACCGTCCCAGTGCCTGACTGCCAATCCCACAATGTGCTTGACTGTTTTTCATGAGGCGTCATTGACTGCTCATTCAAAGAGGACTTCTGGCTCCCAGCTGTGATACAGCAGGGCTATGTGTGAAGATCACCCAAGGTTAGAGACCCAGGCTACTCAGGGTCATCTATGTCCTTTATTATCATGACATCCCAAATCAATGCTTAAATAAAAATAATCTGTATTCCCTTTAAGTGTGCTTCTGTTAGTCCAAGTGTCTTCAAGACTAAAAAAACATTTTGGGAATCTTCAAGAATTTGAAAGACAGAGAATGTGCTTTATTGGCATTAATATAGATTTTCCAGGCATATTGTGAAGAAAGCTTAAGGTTAAATTCAATCCCCAAATTACCAAGATTAAAGACATCTGCAAAGCAATAGAGTTTTATAAAAGGTCACAGAATAACCGCTGTAAGATTTAGAGAGGACAAGAGCTAGACTGTCACAGACTCTTCCCCCATGAGCCAGCAGTGCAATTTTACCCAATATGAACATGCAAATTTTCTCTGAGTTTAATAAATTACAATTTCAGTTTAAAATGTGTTAAATGGGGAGGAACATTTGTGATTGGCCATTTTGCCATAGATTTGGAAGAACGTCAGTATTAGTGACATCAATTTGTAAGCCTACAAGATAGCTTCTACTGACATTTTTTTTTTCTGAGTGAGTGTTTTTTATCACAAAGTAACCTCTTTACTAGAGATCTTAAGGGAACTTAAGAAATTTTACTTAGAAAAAGAATTACCCAAATTCAAACACCTTTTGATTTAAGCTACTCTATCAACTTCCCTCTATCGATCTGAGCAGCTTCTATTTCTCGTGTAGATAGATACTCAGTTAAAAGGGAGGAAGAGCATTTTCTCTAAGGAAGCTTCTGGTTAGATTTCTTGGGGTCAGAAAGACTAGTGCAAAAACAGAGAAAGACTAGTGCAGTGTTCTTGTTCAGTTCTAGCCCTTTCATCATAAATATATTGTAGATCAGTGGTTAAATAAAACATGACAACTACCTAGTCCCATTTTCTGGTTATAGCCAATGTATCACTGGCATATTGTAAATCCAAGTGGGGGGGAAATGTAATGTAGAAATTATGTTCCAGAATTCCAGGTAAAGAAAAATTAATTTGCAGGTCTATGAATCGGAGGAAAAAATGACTTTGGTGAAGGCACCAATATGGTTTTGCATGTCTAACATAAGTATGCTGCATCTGGCCTTGTGTCTGAGCTGGATCGAAAGAAGATGGGTAACCATTTCCACAAGTGGGACCGAAATTAAACAGTCCTTGAACTCAGGAGAGAGCTGCTGTGCTGCCCGTACAGGTGGGTGGGCAAGGCCCGAGGCTGCCAGCTATATTCTGCAGACCACGCCAGCTTCAGATGGTCTCGCACTCCGTGGTGTCAGTAGAACAGGCTCCACAGTCACAGCGGACAGCCACAGGGTAGGTGTAGAAGGGGTCGACTCCAGGGGCACAGTTGGGCAGCTTGACTGTCACCTGTCTGGTCTCGTTGTAGGTACAGACTCTGTGATGGGCTTCAATGTAGGGAGGTTCCAGAATGGGCTTCTGTCCCCACAGGTAGAAAACAGGAAGCCCATTAAAACATAGCACCCTGTTTCATTATCTTGACACCACACATCCTACCAGAAATTAACTAGTTATCTACTTACTTGTTACTCTTTCTCTTCCCGACATAACACAAACTCCTGAAAGCAGGAAGCTTCAGGAGTGCTCAATAAATGAATAATATTGATCATTGCAAATATCTACTGACTAGCGTCCCTTCTTCCAACATTACTCTTTACAGTCTATTTGCAACACAAAACCCCCAGATGATCCTTTTGTAAAAAAGAATTATTCAATTTTACTTATTATTATTATTTTTTTTTAATTTGGCCAGAGAGAGAGAGAGAAAGTGAAAAGACAAACCACCAGGTCTGGGACTCAAACTGTTGTCCACCATGTGGGAGTTCAGCACCTCAACCACCACACCACCAGCCAGCTTCCCAGATGATCCTTATAATATGTAAGTTGGACCATGTCACCACTCATTCAAAGTCCCAGTGATTGGGCTAAACTGAGGAGAGAAAGGAGTTTGAGATTTTGGTACAGAGAAATCCAAACATCCCAGATATGAGATTCAAGCAGAGAAAGCCACTGCCAGGCTAAGTTCAGAATATAACAAGGTGCCAAACTTGGGTGTCAACTGGCAAAGTATACTTAGCAAAACTGAATTTGCATTTGGCTATTAGGTTTCAAGTCCTCGAATGATGCAAAAAATAAAGCTGATTTGGTAGAGTAGGTTCATTTAACTGGAGATTTCAACACCATAACCCAACTCCATTTGTAGGGCCACCCACACATTATCTAGGTGACAGCAGGCTGCTCTCCAAGTCCCTGAAGAGAGGGATATTTTTCCGAATGGCAGTGTGCTGTCATGGTGCTCATACGCTCTGAAGTTGGCTTACATTAAGCCAGAAGATACACAACTCTAAGTAGAGAGTCCAGTTAGTTCAATGAATATTTATTTGCCTTCTTCATACGTGACACTGGCAAAAAGCTATGCAAGTCACATGAATAAGCCTATGGCCTCTGGGGCCAGCAGGTGGTGTGGTGGCTAAGGGTGCTGGACTCCCACATGGCTGACTGCAGTTTGAATCCTGGACATGGTGGCTTTCTCTTTTCTCTCTCTCCTCTCTCTCTCTCTCTCTCTCTCTCTCTCTCTCTCTC